TCTCCTCCACATGTGAAACTACACAGGCAGATTCTCGCAGCATGCCGTTGGCACACTGCGCTGGAATAGTTGTGGGTGCGCCGCTCTCCACCGCCCTAGACCTACCTTTCGCAGGTCCTGGCCGTGCTGGCGATCCCTTTCTGCTGCCTCCTCCGCTGCAGAGGCTGATGACTGTATGCCGTGAGAGACAGCACCTTGCGGAGTCCTAGGCGAGATGGTCCCTGAGCTGTCGCCTGGATGCAATTTTTGTAGCACACGCCCTGCATACTGCTGTGTCCCCCATGTGGTACTCCACTTGTGATGCCGTGGTCTAGTGCATGCGTGTGACATGTTGCTTGAGTGCCCTTGCCTTGGGAAACACAGTCGAACGCCACGGACATATGTACGTAGTTGGTGCTTTTCTCCCTGCTGCTCTGAGGGGATGGTCTGGATGCGTGACTGGGGGAGGAAAGCCACTGGACTGCTGCACGATCTGAAAGAAATCACGCTCGGCCTCGCCAGCCAGTGACGCCCTTGCTTGCGCACACGTCGCTCCGTGTTGCGCAACCTTCAAAGTCTGCCTCCATGCAGTGAGGGAGGTGCGGGTACGTCGTTCCCATGGAGCCAGGTCGTCGCACGGGCTGGGTAGATCACGATACGTGTTGTGTACCGAGCCTGGCCATTGCAGGTCTTCTAGAGTATGGTGTGTCTATGCTCGTTTCTTGGCATGGTGTTTGATAGAGGTACGGAATGCATGCGCACGTATGCCTAGTAGGAGAGCGGAGCCATGATGCAGAACTCTGCCTAGGAGCCGTAGCCTATGTATGCGTACTTGTATGCCCAAGTCGGGTCGCATGACTGCTGCTAGTATTTCCTGGTCTGGAACTGCCTGGTCGTCGTGCCTGTGAGGACCTGCTGCTGACCTATATCTCTTTATCATGCTGTTGCGTAGCGTCTTCATAGCTCACTTGTCCGGGTGGATCCAGGTGCCCACGTTGAAAAGTAGGGATGCTGTGATCAGAGCATCGACAAAGCGCATCTTGATGCCTGTCTGGTCTCCCTTGTGCGGCGCGCTCTCGTCGCCACTTTCCTGGTCATTGGGCAGCTTGGAGACCTTCGTGGCTGAGGGGTCCCTGCTCAGTGCAGGGAAGGCACGTCTCTGTAGGACTTGGGAGAACTGGGCGACCCCTGCAACTATGTGCGCGACTTCTGGTCCCATGGTTCCTTTTTCGTCCAGGATGGTCCCGATGTGGGGGTATTGCCGAACCGCACAGATCGTGAACTCCCCTGCGTTATCGGTTTTAACCAGGAATTTCCCTTGTCGTGTCTTCCAGAGGTCGATTTTGGCGAGCTTGGCGTGGGTACCGAAAAACTGAAAGAGCAGCTCCGACTTGCCTTTCTTGAAGTTGAGTTGGAGCCCTCGCTCCACGAAACTTGATGCCACGATACCTGCAACGTCTGACGCAATGGCAAGGAGGTGCATGGGCGAGCCTCATACTGCAAAGACACCGTCGTCAAAAAAGCATATGTCCACTGCCTGTGTGGTCGTAGCTGGTTCATGTGTCAATAGCTGGGTTAGGGACGCGCCCTCTAGTGTTCGGTACACGCGTAGGTATGTGTAGGGAGGTAAGCCGTTGTTTGGCTAGGTCGACACATTCAGCCATGCTAACATTGTATACCACGTCCCCCAGTTGTTGTCCAGAAACCGTCCCCATCATAGGAAACGCAACCAAAGTAGATCCCGGGTAGTTGAACCAAGAAGCGTGGTAAGACGAGGCCGTGAGGGCCGCCAGATGCTGGCCGACGTCGGCCTTGTCCAGAGCGTTAGGACCCTCCCTGAGACGATCCATGAGGTGGTGCATTGTAGCTGGCGTCAGCCCTGAAAGTTTTAGTAGCATGGCAACATTTTCCACCGTAATGCACGTAGTCATGAACAGTTGTCGTAGCCATGTGTAAGATGCTTGCACAACGTCCACTAGCAAACACATGATTGAACCAGTCTGTATTTCCGCAAGGTTGGAGAGCGATCTGAGGGCCAATCCTGCCAGGTCGACGCCTCTGCCTGCAATTCCTCCGAACTGCGTGCCTCCAGCTTGCTCCGGCAGTGCGTCTGCGAGGGGTGGGCGCAGTAGGGGGCGAAATTTCTCTCCAATCTGTGGGAAGATCATGACAGATTTGGAGTGGATGGGCCATGACGGGACTCCCGTTCGCTTTCCAAATGTTCCAGCACCATCCCCCCTTCCATTGTACTGGCTGCTCTATGCGCAGTACAGCCTTAGTGACGACTTGAAAGTAGATGTGACCTAATAGTTCTGTGCCGAACTTGGCCAGCAGCTTGCTCGAAATGCTGTCCAGGCTGGGAGCTGAGGCGCGCGACCGCTTGCAGGCGGTCTGAAACTGAGCGAGTGCTGGCCGAAAAGCTTCCTCTGGGGAAACTCCGTTGACCTCAGCTTCTGCAAATGAGGGAGCATGTCATGGGCTGCCTGGGCATGTACGATCGGAAAAACCGCACTAAGCTCCT